GAGTTTTTTTTGTTTTAAACAATTAAACAAGAAAATGTCTGGACCTATGGTGTTATGTCAATTATGGATGGGTGGTGTAAGTAACTATTTATTATTTCATGTAAAAATACGGTTTTTATATTCTATATCTGTTTTTTTTGCAATAAAATTAAGAGTATATCTTATTTTAGTTAGAACCATATATGACAGAAAGTTTTATAATGAATGCTTTTCATAAAATGGGAGAACAACCACAAACAGTTAAAGTAATGAGAAACCGTTATACTGGTGAACCTGCAGGTTATTGCTTTGTACATTTTCCAACTGATGAAATGGCACTTGATGCTATGCATAAATTAAATGGCAAAGTGATACCTGGTTCAAATCCAGTAAGGATTTAATAAATTCTATTTGTATTAGATAACATGTATACCAGTTTAAACTTTTTTTCTACATTTTAGGCCGTAAGATTTCGATTAAATCATGCTAGTACCACAGGAAAACCAACAGCAGAAAGAGAATTTAGTATTTGGGTTGGAGATTTATCAACGGATGTAGATGATTATTCCTTATACAGAGCATTTGCTGCCAAATATAATTCAATTAGAACAGCAAAAGTAATTTTAGACAGTTCTGGATTTAGTAAAGGATATGGTTTTGTCAGATTTGCTAATGAGGAAGAACAAAAAAATAGTTTAGTTACTATGAATGGTTACAGAGGTCTAGGAACAAAATCATTAAAAATTTGCAATGCTGTTCCAAGGCCTTGGAATAAATTATCAGGGTATGTAAATTATATTTTAATTATACATATCATAGTTATCATAATTATCATAAAATACTAATAAAGAATTTTCTATTGCTCAGATCAACACCTCCACAGTCATCATCAGAATATACACCATCAAATTTAAATTCAGATGCTTATAACTATTATGATACATCATCTTACTGGAACAGTTATAGTGCATGGCAGCAGGGTTATTATGAAAGTGAGCCTACTTCAGATGGATATAATAGTTATGTATCTGATCAAAAACCAGAAGAAGATGAATTAGAATTAATTGGTATGAAGTACATCTTTTATAAATTTAGCAATTTTATCTTATTGCATACAACATTAACATTATTTCAATTAATATCATTCAGAATGATTGATAATCTATTAATATATCATGTTTGAAGAAATCTAAAGAAGCTAATCTAAATTTTAAAAAATTAGTTTGATAATTTTCAAGCAATATATTGTAATGTATGTTATAAATATATTGGAAATTTTTATTATAATATATATACATTATTATATTATAAACAAAATTTTTTAAATTATAATTTTTCTTTTATTTACAGAACATTCTGTTCCTATAGACATTGATAAACTTAATAGAGAAATAATAGAACAAGATTATAACTTATGGGATGCACTAGAAAGTTCAAAATGGATACCATGTGACACCTTAGAATTATGTTATTAAAATTTATCTAAATTAATTTCTTTTAATTGCTATATCTGTGTAATTGTGTATTTTTACTCATGATTTAAATAAATGTATAGATTGTAACAGCATAACGAAATTTATTTCTATTTTATGCAGTTTATTGTTATTATTATTGACCTAACGTGCAAATCTTGTATCATAAAATTCAGTGTCAAATTCAAAAAGAAAATTATCCAGTAAATTCATATAACTTGAAATATTTAAATTCAATATACATTGGTAAAATTCCGATAAGAATTATGGAATAATCATAAGGGTATTTTCTAAGGAAAATATACTATTTTCTAATACAAATTGACTAATACAAATTTATTGTTTTCATACATTAATTCTCTAGTTTTAACTAGCATCAATTTTATATAAAACAAATTACATTATAAAGAATTTCTTTAGTCTAATGTATAATAAAATAAATAATAATTATTAAAACTATCAAGTGTTTTTTTTATAAATAAACAATATGTTTTATATATGTACATATTTTTACTAAAAATACAAATAATATATACAAGAATATGTAAAAATAAAATATCTCAATAATCGACATTTTAAATGATATAAAGATGTAAAGATATGAATCTCTCAATTGACGAATGGCGTAAATGCAAATTTAAGAAAAATCAGTTTATTGTAGAAATAGTAGTAAGTATTAAGAATATTTTCTTTATTTATTAATTGAATTTACGTATATTTTTTTATATTAATAAAAAATAAGAATCAATTTTTACATCGTAAGTAAATGACATTTTCATCACATTACTGTTACTATTGAAAAAAATATAATTTTTCTTCTGAGTTATGTTACCATAATTGTTATTTAGTCATTTTACTCCCTTACAATAAAGTCTCTGTTCTCAATTTATTATTACATGAAATAGTCCAATTCTCACAATGTTAAAAAAAGGGGATTTAATTTACTAGTCAATTAAGAGGCTCATATTGTATAACTAATCTTAAATAATGTAATATACTTGCATATTAAATTAAATTAGTTAATAAAAAATTATATAATTTTTTTTAAATGTAAATTTATGTAAATTATATAATTTTTTTTTTTTTATGAATTAAACACGTGATAATTTAATAATTACAGTTACTAAGAGTTCTGATATATCGTCGAAATTTTAAGAGTGAACGTCTGAACTTACCATATAAACTTGTAAAACACTTTTACCAGGTTCGTCTAAAGATTCTTTTGATAAAATAACGAATGATCCTGGTTCTACGTCATTAATATTTGATATAACTGTTTTAGGATCTATATGATTAATTTCTGAATTAATACTATCAAAAATTAAATCTTCAGTAACTTTTTCAGTAACATTATTTTCTGATGACATTGTAAGTTCATCATCATTAGGACAATAATTTAACCTTTCATTATCAAGTGTATTTATATCAGGTCCCTGCAATTTTTTTATTTTTGGTAATCTTCCTGATCTTGTCGGTCTTACATGATAAACTTCTGTATCACTGTCAACATCATTATATGATTCTACATCATCTGTTTTTGTCAGTAATTCTTTTTCAATTTTTGGTCTTTTATAAAGTCTTTTATTTGTTTTATTTAATGTTTGTCTATATTTGTCGTTTGATTCTGCATTTTCTTTGTATACTGTCGAATCTAAGTCATTCGGTATATAACATTCTTCTGTTTTTTCTTCTTTTTCTTCTTCTTCATCTTCTTCTTCTTTTTCTCCCTCTTCGCTATCAGTTTCACTGTCCATTCCAATACTACGTGCTAGTTCTAGAAATGAAGTGAGAAATTAATATTTGAATTTTTTTGTTAAATATATATAATTTCTACAGAATATTTGAAAAAATATAATGAAAATTTGATATAGTATTTATTTTCAACTTACTGCTTCGTCGTCTTTTTGATTTCTTATTCTTATTTTTTGTCTTTTGTTGTTTTCGTGTTTCTTTTATACGTAAAAGTTCTTTTTCTGCAGCTATTAATAAAAAATTAAGATTATAATCAATTAATCAATAATAAAAACGACAAAATTAAGAAAGATAATATAATTTTTATCATTAAAACTAGCTTAATTAATCACTGTTAAATTTTAAATGACAATGACAATAAGTAACTTTTATTATATTTTTACAATTTAATTATCTTATATAATACTTTTTATAAAATATTTTGTATGAATTGTATCAAAATGAATCGACAATTATTTTAGAAATAAATATGGGCTATACAAATTTACCTAATGACTTTTCTAGCATTTCAGTATCAAATTCTTGATGATATGCTAGAGCTTTTTCAACCAAATGTCTGTTTACTTTTTCTTCTTTCTTAAATTTTAACTTCATTTCTTGTCTCGTTCTATTAGGAAAAAGACTTTGCATCAACAAAAAATCTGTACCAATTGTATTTAGTGCTTTATAAAAATTCAAAGTTTCTCGCGAGGACCATTCTTTACTTTTTTGACGCTTTTTATAAAATCCACTTCCATTATTATCATCATCAATAATAGCTTCTTTTGCTAATACTTTTCTATTTCTCTTCGCATTAGTTTGTTCAATAACAAGACTCTGTTCATCTATTATTAATTGACCATTTGGTCCAACTTTTACTTGAGGCACAGGCATTGTAGATGATGGATCATCTTCCTCTTCTTCTTCTTCTTCCTGAACTTCTTCAGATCTGCAATGATTATTTATTTTATATTTCAGTTTATAGAACATTTTACAGAATTGCTTTTGAATTATACAAAATTAATATTAAAATAATACATTCAAAATAGTTATTTAATATACTTACTGGCATTCTATTATTTTTCTTGTTGGCACTGTAGACTTTTTCATAGGATTAGTAATAGGATTATAATATATTAAGTCATACATTGTGAGTTTGCTTCTATCTGGAGTTTTATTTTCATGTTTTAAATGAAATTCTCTTCTAGCTTCTGCTAATTTTCTTGCAGATTCTGAAACTAAAATACGTCTTTTCTGTCCTATTTTGGATGTTGTTAAATTATTCTTGATGTTATTAGTAACAGCATCTTTTGTATTGTGTGTGGATTGCACTAGATCATTTTTTATATGGTTGGTGATAGCGCATGGCAGTCTTCTACTATCATCTTCAGATTCACTTGTACTTGCTCCACTTCCTTGAATACTGTTTTTCCTTATTCTATTATTATTGTCTAGTTTTGATATAGGTTTCATGAAACCAGATCGATTTTGTGATTTTATAGAAAAATCTGAAATAATATAAAATATATTAATAATTCTCATCTAACAATATTTCTAAATAATCTTTATGAATGTTTCTAAATAAACGGTTTAAATTTCATAAATACTTGTAACGTTTATTATCTTTATAGGATAATACAAATTATATTTACAGTATTAATTATATTTACAATATTAACGTACAATGCATTTGCGTATTTGAAATTTAAAAAATGAAAAGTCTTGTGTAAAAATTTCAACAGGTACAAATCTAAAAATTAGTAACAGTACAAAATAGAAGTCTATGTAATTACATATTATATTCATTTATATTTAAATACAATTATTTAATATTTTTATTAAAATATATTTAATATTTTTATAACATTATACTTATCACATTCTTATCATACTTACTAATTTGTGTTGCACTTAAAATTTCTGGTGACTGTATAATTTCTTTTGTTGATTTCTCAGAATTTTTTGTAGAGTCATCCTTATTTTCATTACATTGATTATCAATATGTAATTTTTCATTTTGTATTTGTTCTTCCACTTCTTGGACTTCTATTAATTTTTGTGTATTATTTAAATTTTCTTGTATCACATATTCAGAAACATTTTCTAAAGTTTGTTGTGACTTTATACAAGTACCATCAGACGTATCTTTATTTTTTTCATTGTGCTCAACTGAATTAATAATTCCAGTAACGGATATATCTTGTGTTAGTTTTCTTCGGGTTGGAACAGTAACCATAGCTTTTATACGTGCTCGTTTCATTTTCTTGAATTTATTAATTTATTAAAATCTCTATAATGTAATTTAATAACCTAATTAGAATTGATATAATTATTTATTATATATAATATATTAACACTGTTAAATTATAATGTGTTATAGTATAATTACAACTATAAATTGTAATTAATTTATATCAATATTTTTAATACAATTCTACACAAGGTGTCTTAATGTATGTAAAAAATGCAGCAAAAATGAATTTAGCATATTAAAAGATTCATATAACCATGTTTTCAAATTAATTTTAAAATTTCTCATTTTTCAACGAAATTTAAAAATTAGCATTTTATTTATATTTGAAAACAGTGTAAACATAATGACAGTGAAAAGTAACATATATATATATATATATATATATATATATATATATATATATAAAATAAAATATGAAAGTTTAATAGTCAAATCTATCTATTTTCATATTGCATTTCTTAATTCCATAAAGAATTGTTACAATCTATGAATTTGTTACAATCTAGTACAGTAAAAAATTAAATTTTATGTCTTCATTATTTTGTAATATGAGGTTATGTATGTACTTGCCAATGCAGGATGATCCTTTTAATAGTACCACTAAAAGCACAAATGAGATACAGAACAAATTTGATAGAATTATTTCTTTTTTTATAACTAGTGATTAGTGAATTATACAATTATTTTTGATTAACGTTAATAGATACATACTGATATAATATTTTTATTTCTTTCATTATTTCTATGATCTCTTCATGCATGATTGTCACGTAATAAACGTCACATGCTTTACGATACAATTTCTTCTTATTGTTAGTAAAAGCTAATGAAATTATTATAGATAAAATAATGATGTATAATAATTATGAAAGAATGATTTTATTAATAATAAAAGCAAACTAAAATAAATTTATAATTGCATGTAAAATTTGTAATTAGTTACTAACAAATAAAATTCTTAGAGATTTATTAATGTTATAAAATGTTAAGTTTTAAGTATAGTTACAAATTTTTACAAATAAAATTCTTAGATATTAAGTGCATATTATTATTTATCCACATACCAATGTCATTTATATATGTATGCATCTATTTGTTTTGAATTTCATATTTCGTAGAAATAAATTGAATCATACGCGTGATGATTTCACTTAATAACCGCTATATTTCATTTAATTTTAAAATCTAAATTATTTCTACTACTATCGAAGATAAAAAAGTAATTAATAAGAAGAGTTTATATATGTATATAATTCTTATACTAACAATTCTCTTAAAAATTATTCCGAAATTATTGACATCTTTTTTGTATATCAAAATTTATTTTTAATTAAAATTAATTGGAATAAATTTAATTACGAATTATAGGAAATAGTCAAATTTTTGCTGATATTAAAATATTTATTTAATATTGGTTTTATTTCACGTTTAACAATTGATAAATCTATAATATATGCGCGTGTGTATAGATACATAAGTGTTATACTTTCGTAGATATGGTAACGATATTGATTTTTATAATAATTCAATTCATACTCTATATTATTATATTTTAGTAAAAATGTGGCAAGATAATGAAGTTCGATTCGATGTTTCATACACGTAATTTCTTTTATATTATATCTTGGAGTATAATTGTACTTGGAATATAATACATTTTTTATTTTATTAAATTTTGTATACTATGTATATTAATAGAAATTTAGTATTACATATATAATTATTAAAATTTAAATTAAAATGAAGGTATATTAAAAATATGAATAAGTATATTTAAAATAAATGGCTTAAAATAAATATTTAAAATAAATGGCTTAAAATATGAATAAGTATATTTAAAATAAAATATTTATATAAATAAATATTTTATCTAAAACATAGCTCTCTGTATTTTATGTATAAAATTACATGAAAAGATAATGATATATAATTCACTATTCACAACTCTTAAATTTCTAATAGTCACATGCAGCTACGATTGGGAGAATTTACAGTTGATAAACTTGATTTAATAGAAGACACAAAGGGAAATGCGGGTGATATTGGGAGACTTATAGTAACTAATCTCAGAATTATATGGCATTCTTCGCTTCTTCCCAGAATTAATCTAAGTATGGATTAAATTAAGTAATTTAATATTAGTTTTATAATTACTTTTACAATTACATACTTTTGAAATATATGAATAATTGCTAATATTAAATTCTTGAAATATTTGTAATAATTAATGTTACAAATTTTATAATTTATTAGTACTACTTAAAATATATAAATATAATTTATCACGTACATATATAATATGTATTATAAAATGAAACGATTTAATTATCATAAAGATCATAAATTTTAGTATCATAATAATCATATATGTTTTTCCATAGGTATTGGCTATAACACCTTCATAACAGTAAATACTAAAATTATACATAGTGTTAGTATATTTTTTTAAATTTACAATTCTTCATTTGTAATTTGCAAATAATGGAACACTATCATTTTTTTAGTTACAAGGAAAGCATGTACAAGCATTACATATTTTAGCTTCCTTTCAACATTGCAGATATGAATTTTTATTTACAAATCAAGATTTAAAAAGTACAAGACATTATACATCTGTTATTGGTGTTTACAGGTATTTTTGAATGTAAAATTTGAATGTAAAATTATAAAACATGATAAGCCATGAATTTTAAATGAATGGGAATAATATTCAAGAGCAATAGAAATAGAGATATTTTTTAAAAAAAGATAAAATAAATATAACTTAAGAAATACATTACACTACATTAAAATTTGATGTAGTATTAAATAATCTTTTAAATATTACAGAGCATACATTTCATCAAAAATTTATCGAGAAATTAAATTGAGAAGTGGAATAATTAATGATAAACAATTAACTTTATTACCACAAGAGACAGTTCACTCAACATTGCAAGATATTTGGAATTTATCATTAGAGCAGGTTGAATTATTATTTATAGAAGTTTGTTAGTTTATAAAATGTGTTATTAAAATTTATTTTATTAGGGAAATATTGGAACTTTTATTATGACAAATATACGTTTAGTTTGGTTTGCTGATATGAATTATCAATTCAACATATCAATTCCTTATCTTATAATAGCAAATGTAAGTACATATATTGTATAAGTATAGTCCATATATAAGAAATATATTAAAAGTTTTTAAGAATATAATAAAGAAGCATCTTTCTTTTTTTTTAAGTAGATTACTATTAAAAATTCAAAATTTGGTCCAACTTTAGTCATTACTAGTTCAGAATCTAGTGGAGGATATATATTAGGATTTCAAGTTAATCCTATTCGAAAACTTGATACTGTTTACAAAGAAATTCTAATGTTATTAAAAGCGTCTGAAAAATCTCCCATTTTTGGTGTTGATTATACGTTTGAACATCAGGTAATATTATATTAATGTAATTCTTAACAAATTTATTGAATAAATAAATGTTATTATTAATTAAACATCACTTATTACAGGCTCCGTTACAACAATTAAACGTAGAACAACATTCTGAGATACAAGACAATCAACCAGAAATTTCAAATGTGTTTGGCTATTATTTTTCTGAAGGTTCAAATCAAAGAAAACCTAGTTTTTCGATTTATTTAGGTCTTGCAGCAGAAGAACCTCGAGAAACTAGTACACTACAAAGTTTATGGGAACTCGTGCCTCAAACTTAACTGATAAAATTAATAAACTTTAAATATTACATAAATAGCATTATTTGTAAAATTTAAAAAGTAATTAATGCTAATACATCGCATATATCGTTGTACATCACATAAGTTTTTAACATAAAATAAATATAAAAATTTTAAAATATTTAAAATCAATATAAAAAGAATTACCACAATAACACATTATTTTACACTTTTTTCTGACTTTCATCATTTAATATTTAGTAGGTAAATTTATAAGAATAACAGAAATGTATATAAACATTATCTGCATGAAATACAATCAGTTAAATTTTAACGCAACTATTGTCTGTTTTTAATATTATTTTTTCACGTATTTTTTATTACATATAAAAAAATTTAATGATAGGAATTTTACAACTATTTAATACAATTATTTTTTTCTCTTTTCAAAATTTATATTTTTAACACTTTACCAAATATTTTTAAATAGTTTATTTATGGAAAAGTCAACGTCTATAAGGAATTGATAAAAAAATAGATAATTGGAATTAAAGCATTAGTATTCTACAATATAACACTGATAAGTCTTTAATTATTTAATTGCAATTTCATACCACTTTTAGATTCTGTCTTTAAATTTAACTTGGTCTACAATTTAAAGGTTGCACAATTGATTGATCTTGATTATCATCGCCGTCTTCATTTAGTTCAGCCTGCTGAACAGGAAATCTATATCCCATATTCATAAGCATTACTTCAAATGGATCGCTTTTCATGCGTATTTGATTTGCAGATGCAGCATCTTCTAAGTTCTGAATTTCTCTTTCATTTATGCTACCATCCTACATCAAATAAATTTCCATATAATTTTTAAAATTAATAAAGTCTTATAAATCTTAAAATTATAAAATCTTATAAATATCAATTCTTATTCACTTTTTTAAAATACGATTTTGAATAATTATAATGCAGACCTCAGGTAAAGGACTCCATAATCTAACTACTGGGTCAATACCGCTAGTAGCTAGCAAACATGTGGATGGATGAGGTTGAAGACAATTTACAATGCGTTCATCTCCTCTTAATACACGCATAATATTTGTGGTATTACGATCCCAAATAAAAAAGGAACCATCATCTGATCCTGCCACAATATATTGACCATTGCTTAAAGCAAAAATTAATTATAAATATATTATAT